GTTAAACAAACTCTCTAACTTGATAAATAAATATTTCATTCTAGCTTATGATTCCTTAAAAACAAACTGTGCTAAATAGACGATAGTGTACTCAAACGCCTTAATTGTGTTAAATATCAGAGAAGCACTATCGACTACACGCAAGAAGTCATACCGAGTATTGAACATAATAATAATAAACCTTTGTAATATGATAATATGAAACTTTGGTAGAACTCTTAGGAAGTTTTAAGACTGCCCTATTTTTCAGGAGTAACTGATTTAACTGAGAATAATCAAAAGAAACTGCTTCAAAACGAAAATGCCTTGAAAATAATCCGTATAGAATAATGATACTTCTTTACTCATGTTATAATTAAATAAATTAATTTAAATTCAGCAAGATAAATCTATCACAGTCTTAAAAAAATCAGCAATGACAAAGAAGAAATATTCGTCTATATGTAGGAATTCTAAAATTTTTCAAATACGAATCTTAAAAGAGTCTCCAATCTGTTGACTCTCAAATCATTTACATAAGAATAAAAAAAGAAAAGAAAAATATTTTTTACTTAATATTAAAATTTTTAATTGAACTGAAATTTCAAATTTCCTTTAATGGAAAACAAGAATACAGCTTTTAAAAATCCGCCTCCATTTATTAAGAAGATATCTGATCACAGTTCCTGAATCTTGAAGTTCATTTTCTCAGTATAATTTAACACACACGCATACACGGGGAGAGTGGGAAAAAGAAATGAAAGGAATTGAATAAGAGTTCAAGTTTTTTATATATCTCTAGAGTCTCGCCCTTCCTTTACCAATCCAACTAAGTATAGATTGAAAACGTTATTTCAAGAGTTAAAATAGATAAACACTACGTTCTTAGAAAATTAAGGATGTGGAACTCAGACCCAACATGAAGTGATATTTGAATCCAAGTCCACTGAAACTGACACAATCGCGTTCTTTTCCTGTTGGGCTGCAAAATTAGTTTCATGGTTAAAACATTGAACAGTTTTAAAAGATTAATTTAGTTAGATCCAAATGAAGAAAAAAGCACGAAGATTCGAGATTTCGAATCTCGAATTCGGCAACTTAAATGAGCCGAACATACCATCCACAGTTATGAACATAATTTTCGATATTCACTAAGATTCAGATTCAGATGCTTAATTTTATTGAAGAAATTTTTATAGCCGTTGAAAAATTATATCTAACTTAGTAAATTTTTTTATCTATGATTTGATTGAATTTATAGTACAAACTATTTAAGAAAGATGTAACAGACCAAAATTATTTTTCAGATTTCAAATAGCTGAAATGTCCAACACCAATGAAAACCTGAAGTCAATTATTGAAAAACTGAACAGAATAGCATTAAATAACAATCTATTTTCAGATGAGTAATTTGGGAAACTTGTGAAAAGTAGAGCCCAAATTTGCGAAATATATCGTGCTCCTGTGTTACACAAGTACGGAACCATCAATTACATCTTTCTTCGACTTTAATAATATTTGCGTGATAATAATATAGTTTAGGGGTCACGAAATCGTGCTCTAGTTCCGGTTTTTCAACATTTTGCCTTCCGACTAAGTTTTGGAATCAGTGATAGACAAAACTTCATTAAAATTACTCACATATAATTTGATATACGATTCTCGATAACCAGCTGGATCTTCATCGTGAATTAATTATTAAATTTTTTAGACTTCTTAATTGTTTCTAATCGATTTAACTTGTATACTATGATGCAAGATAATATTTAAAAAACATACCCATGTTTTAGGTAGGATAATGTGGTTTAATATGTTTTTCTATTTCTTTGCGAACAGAACTGATGAGGTAGTGAAAAGATTGCGTTAGCGAAAGCCGATATGGAATTATGTTTACCAGAAAATTTAATTTAGTTTTAAATGAATCGCGGAGTAAAGAATAGTCATTCAACACATTTCTGAGGAAGCCATTGCAAGGTAAAAATTACTATTTAATTTCTTTTGTATTGAAACTCTTTTAGCTAGACAGCTATTCCTTCTTTGGACAGTTATTGCTCTCAACAGTTTTTATAACCGCACCGAAACTATAGACAACAAGTCTAGATCTCTAGTGGTGCAGCAGATCAAGAAAGTTTTAAATAACAGCTATAACGTCTTTCTGGTTCAAAGTCTCTCAAAGTGCTTTTAAGCGCCAATGATGGCAAGAATGGGAGATTTCAGATACAGACAGAAGAATTAGTAATTTCTTAGCTTATGGTCTCAGATAATTTACTATGTGATACTTTATTAAGCTATTTCTAATGCGTCAGTCCTTAACATTGTATACTTGGCAATATTTCGCAGACAAGACATACACTAATACCTCATCCACATGGCACGGGCATAACTGATTATTATACTCGTATTTGCCTATTTTTGCTCAAAAGGTTACACTTATTCCAAAATCTGACGTACATGAAAGTGTTTGATATGATTTCCGAATACACTTTTTTACGTCAGCTAAAACATAAAAGTTTGAGCAACACTTTATTATTAACTTCCCAGACTAAAACACACCTGAATTTGCAGGCTTCTTAAAATAACTTTGTTGCTATGTAAAATTCGGAAGTGATATAATGATACGAAGTTTCACTGAGAATATCTCTCGCATTAAACCTAGATGTCATACAGAGAGAAATTCTAACTGCCTAATATTTCCACTCTAAGACATTAGATCACTTACAAGTACGAAATCAATAACAACTTCTACAACTCAACAAAATTTCATATGCATTCATGTTATCCATCTGAAATGTGCATTTTCGTATCACATAACGGGTAGTAACGTTATTATTTTAATTTTTATTGTCTTTAGAAATACATACATGCGGAATGGATTTTACTATTGTAGGTCGCGTGGTAATAATCCTCATTGTTTTCATTTGTGGGTATCATCTGTTGCACTGTAGCTTTCGCTATGATTCTTCGCTGTTCAATACAATTCTACATACGGTTCTACATACCATCTGATGTACTAGCATTTTTGTTTGATGTACTAGCTTTTCATCTTGTTTATTTGCACAGCATACTTAAATGTAATTTTTCATCCAATTGATCCTGACAATTAATAAATTTAAAAGTATATTTCATCAGCAGATATCAATAAGGCACCTTCTTTCGTAATCTGATTTACATTCAGTAATGCTGTCTGCCTCCATTCGCCTTGGCTAGGTATGGCAGTTAGGTTGGTAATTTCGTTTGACAGACGTTAAGCTTCTAAATATAGCTGACATGCTTCATGTATCGCTACTTCTGCGATTTAAAACTGTGATTTAATTCAGGTAACCTGAAAGTAGGAAATGCAACACACGCATACAAAATACCAGGGTCATAAAAAAATTTATATTTTTATGAATAATCAAATAGCAAAAAAAATTAAGCAATATTTATATTTTTCTTGATGCTTGAGGATTGGTAACTATCATAGCTTTTACTGATTTTATTAATTTTTTTATTTCGTGCAGGTGATTTTTTTTAAGTATTTTTTGTTCATTTTTAATAAACCCTATATCTCGCTAATATATATTTTCCCTCTTGGTGCTTAAATATTAGTAAATATCAAGACTGTTTACTGTTTTCTTTTTTTTTTTGGGGGGGGGTCTCGTATAGGTAGGTTATTCTTAAGTACGTTTATTCATTTTTTAATAAATTCCATATTTTGTATCACTATTATGTTTCCGTTAAGGCAAATTAACTGGGAAGTCGCGAAAAGTTTGTCTCATGAAAAGAGATCGAGAGTAAAAAACATTTAAAAACCTGGATCTTATGCAAGTTTAAATTAGTTTTGATCTGTTAGAAGTAGTAAATATACTTTAACATATTTTCCATAGATGCTGTCTCAGCTCTGTGCTTATTTCCAGATACCATAGCCATCCTAGATAAAAGCCTTATTATTGTCATCATAGATAAAAACCTCAACAAGTTCTTGAGAAGACTTTAAATCTCATTTTCATGCGTGTCTCAAGGTATCACGACATCACGAGCTGCTCTGTTGTTGCATTCATTACCTGCAGAGACCCTTGATTTCACTGCTGTTAAGTTTCCAGACGTCTTTTTGAAAGCGAAAAATCATTTTTGATTCATCAAACGCCATTGTTTCTCGTTGCGAGATTGCATTTTAAAAACACTTTTCATTATGAGTTTTTAAAAGCTATTTAGACTTCTTTTCCACCATTGCATGCGAATGGTATTGTGCAACTTCCGCAGAAATCAAAAGCTATAATTCACCAAATACAAAAGCTAGCGGAAATACCATTGCTATCTCCTTTTTTCTTCATTATTCTCTTCTTTTAAATTTACTTGATTCAAGACATGAACATTGGAAATTCAAATATCCAGTACAAAGAATTCTTTAGAAGCGTTTTCCTATACGATTATAGTCGTCTGGATATCAGCCCGTTTCGAGGAATTAAAATAAAATCGGCGGGTATGTTGTTTATATTAATGAAGTCTAATAACCTTAGATTCAAGTGGACGTGCTTCAAGATAAAATATGTAACTAGTGGTATGAAAGAGAATGCGAAGTTATAGGAGGTTCCCTAGCGGCTGAATTTTCCACACGTTTTCTTCAATTGCGATGAATTCTAACGGCATTTCAGAGAATATACTGAAAAACGTAGTTTCAGTGACATTGACGCTGTTTCTTTTCAATAATTTTTTTAAATACAAACAACTCTTGAACATCACGGGTTTGAAATGAATGACCGCACTTGCATGCGCATATTTTCGATAAATATGTTGTAAATGTTTTTTGGATACATACGGCAGTTTGAGAAACTTTGCGTGGATCACATGGCCTCTAATAAGTAAGCAAAAATTAAGAAAATGTTTGGTATGTCATAAAAGAGTAAAAGGGTACCCACGGCTGCATTAAAACAGTTTGAGGCTCAGGCATAACATTCTTTCGGATCTACATACGGATTTCTATAACTTATACACTATTTTTAAACTGTTACGAGCCATAAACCCTTCACGTTGTTCAACAGTCAACTCATATCAAATCACTGAAGCATTTGACTGACCTCTCCAGACAAATCTCTGATGTGCTCATCATGCATTTGCCTGTTTTCTTCTCTAGTTTCTGTCATAGTCTGGTTGCTCTCTGTCTTTTCGCTAATCACCTTGGCCGATCCGGGCACGAGGGTGTAGCCTGGACCTGGAGGATCATCTCCAGTTGTCTTGTGCTAAAGAAAAAATAGAGAGACAGATTAAAGTTAACTGTTGCTCTTGATTTCACATGCACTTCATTCCTGAACAATGTTTATTTCCTCTGTCCACTGATTTGAAATATAATTAAATTTCCATTCTTATAAAGAATAATTCTTTCTTAAAGATTAATGCAGTTGTTTTCATTCTAATAATGTGATAATAAAAAATACCCTTTCCAACCTTAGTGTTTATTCCGTTTCTTCGTAATTTATTTTTTAAAAAATTAATTACTAAACAGCTTACTTCTGTGTTTTCCGATTCTTCGACTCGGACATCTTCTTTCGTTTTTGTAGTGACTTGTGGTCCAGAATCGGCTACGATGCGACCGTCTTCCAAAACGAGTTGTCTTTGTACTCGAGTCTCGACCTGTTTCAAAATAACATGCAGTGAATAAATATCACAGAGAAAAATCGACCTTAATTTATCATTTATTAGGAAACACATAAACATTAGAAATACCCGTATAATAATTTGCCTCAAACCTAAGAACCCTGAGCTTAAACGCACTTGAGATCTACTCTATATTTCATGTCATTGACATCATTTTGCTTGTTAATAATTACAGCTATCTAAACAGATTCGCTGACGACTTTTGACGTAACAAAATAATTTGTTATCAATTACATTTGAAAATGAAAATTATTTTTGGTACGATGGATTCATATCAAACAGCAGCAAAATACTTAAAAATTCAACTAAAAAAATATTACCTAGCACTTTTTACACGTAAAGTTTAAAATTGTGCTTCGGTTTTTTAAAAGCTGACAGCAATGCATGAATATGTGATTTCCCTAAGCAAAGAAAATTTAGGCAGCCATTCAGACTGTCAACATAATATGTACATTGCGAAAAAAAGGGGGGGACAGTTCTATATACGAGGGCAATCCCAAAAAAAAGGTCTCCTATTTTTGGGGGACGTGAGAAAGTTTTAATACGGTTGTTGGCAACACTGTTGTGAAAGGTGCTTTCTCCGCTACCACATAAGCACGCAGGCGCTTCGCTCGGATGCTCAGTCTTGGCTTGGCAGCCATTCGAAATAGAGCTCCCGATAAACGCTACCGCCAAGTGTGAAGTGCGCGCAGTTATTCGATTTTTGAACGCAAAAGGCGTTAAACCGGTTGAAATTCACCGCCTATTGACGGAAGTGTATGGACAGTCGTGCATGGATGTCAAAAACGTTCGCAAAAGGTGTAGAGAGTTTACAGCCGGTCGTACTGAAATTCATGACGAAGAAAGGAGAGGGAGGCCGTCAATTGCCGACGAGACAATCGCGAAAGTTGAGAAACTCAGCGTAAAGATCGGAGGATCACTCTGGATGCTCTCTGCACTTTGGTTCCTGAGGTTTCCAGAAGCACCATCCACAGGATTTTAACGGAAAAGTTGCAATATCGGAAGGTGTGTGCAAGATGGGTGTGTGCACCAGCGATTTACACCTGTTCCCTAAGTTGAAGGAACAGTTATCTGGACGGCGGTTCTGCTTCGATGATGAGGTGAAAGATGAGGTTCAACGCTTCCTGAAGGGCATGGCGGCAAGCTGGTATGACATAGGCATTGTAAAGCTGACACAGCGTCTACAAAAATGCATCCACCGAACTGGCGATTATGTTGAAAAATAAAGCATTCTTCAATCTTTAAAGGCATGTAGCAATTATAGAAAATAAACGGTTCTTTGTATATCTAAAAATATAGGGATTGCCCTCGTATTACCCGTTCTACTGGGCCGATTGACAAAGTTCAAATTACGCCTTCCATGTCTCAAAAGCCCGACCTAGGATATATTCGATTGATATATAGCATCATTCTAACATGGGCTTTTTGACGCAAAATAGGACTTTTTCTGTAACGACATGCCAATTTTTTTCCATATTTCGACTCTGCCAAATTATACCAAACTGCGAGGTTTTGTAAAAATTGCACGAGTAGTTTTTAAAAAAATAACTCTTAAAATTTCAGCCCCTCAATGTTAATTGAATTTGATATATATTTATTAATATCTCTTTTTTTTTATTAAACTTACTTCATTTCTTCTTCCAGAATTCGAAATTTAGGCATAATTCAAATATAATTAGCACATTTTATGATTTGTTTTTAAAATTTGTAAATTTTAATATTTTTATAAATTTTTCGAAAAATATTTTATGCTATAACCTATAAATTTTTTAACATCATCTTAAAGTAGATGTATTTCTAGGCACAACAGCAAAAGTTAAGAGTTTTTTATTCAAAATTTTCTAAGATATACATGAATTTACATATTGGAGCGTTTTGAAATTTTGCCTCTTTTTGGGCCTTTTTTTTTTTTTTTTTTTTTTTTTTTTTTTTTTTTTTTTTTTTTTTTTTTTTTTTTTTTTTTTTTTTTTTTTTTTTTTTTTTTTAAGTCCAAAGGGATTTGAATCCCGAAGGACTATTAGTTTCGTTTTGGCATTTTGCGTCGGACGGATAAATGTCGGTTCACTTTTCAAACTGTTGCCATAAAATGTTAGAGTCCTACATTATATTTGAAGAAATTAAATAATGAAAATCTGCGTAAATGTATGTATATTTCTCACATTGTCATAAAATAACGTACATAGAGTCATCGAATTTTGAATAACGTAATCCTCCAACGAATATGAGCATGTGGAAGACCAAATTTGAAATTTGAAATTTGTTTTATGATCGATTTCCTATTTTTTAAAAAAACTTTGACGAATTTTTTGATTAACAAACTCAAGGATTTCAAAGCGAGCAATGGCAACGTTGTGCAGAAAAAACATTTTTATTTTATCTCCAGCGCGTGAGTCTCTGTAACGGAAATTCTAAAGATATGCTCGTTTTAAAACTATTTTGCGATATTGCTGTTTGCACTGGATTTTATGGTTTTTAAGTGCGAGGAACATGATATTTAATAAAGGTAACACACAAAATGTTAAAAAACGCCCCTTTGGACGTAATTTAAAATCTGAAACATTTCAGTTTTTTTTTTTTTTTTTTTTTTTTTTTTTTTTTTTTTTTTTTTTTTTTTTTTTTTTTTTTTTTTTTTTTTTTTTTTTTTTTTACCTACAATAACGCCAAACGATAATACGCACTTTGTTAAAATTTTTTGAAAGTATGAACGATGACTTTTTTTCCCGCTCATCTACAATGAAAAAAAGGAAAAAATAGGTTGCTATAAATTAAGAAGTTCGCCAAGTAAATTATTGCTGACGAAAACTGAAAAAATACGCCAAGATAAATTTTTGAATTTCTCCGTAAAATTCGCACAAAATTTAATATTTAGGCATAATTTGAGTCGTAGAATCGAAATATGGAAAAAAGGGCATGTCATTTCAGAAAAAGTCCGATTTTGTGTCAAAATACCTATGTTAGAGTGATTTTATATATAAATCTAATATATATACCCTAAGTCGCGCTTTCGAGACATGAAAAACGCAATTTGAATTTCCTCAATCGGCTCAGTAGAACGGGAGATATAGAACTGCCCCCTTTTTTTCCGCAGTGTAGAATGAAACCTCCCTAAGACGACCATCTAATTTTTATACATTTCTGGTCATCTGCGAGGAGGATCGCGTTACAGAATATGATTATTGGTTTTTAGATTCCCATGAATGGTTTTACAGCATTTGAATGATATTAGTTTAATAGTAAACATCCACTATTTAGTTAGAGATTAAAATAAGTTAATTATTTAGTTTTTCTTTGTTTATGAATGAAGCCGCTACGTTCACCTAATATGTTTGCAGAAGAAAGATATATAAATCTACTTTAAAGCACAAAAATTTATTAGATTGGGATGTAAAACCGGTAAAAACAACTTTAACAGAATAAACAGTGCGTTTATGTTTAATCAGTAAAAGTAATTAACAGTATTTGAGTATTAATACAGTGAGAAAGTGCAATTAAATATGATCAAACAATATAATTTTTGTACCAAACTTTATACAGCACGTAGTGAAGAGTTAATACTCAGCACAAAAGTATCTAAAAGATTATATTAGGTATTTTTAGGAATATGTAAACTGTAAACGATGGTTCTCTGATTACTTAATAGTTTATAAGAACATGTTTCAAATTTTTTTCTATAAAAATAAAAGAAGATATAAATGTAATTTAAGCTAAACTCAGACTAGATTTTAATAATACATAGCTTAAGTCATAATTACAAGAAAAATTTTGACACTGGATTAAAACTGATTACTATATCTTAAACGAGAGTCTCAGTTTGGAATTCCGTACTTAGTATATATTTCTTTTAGGTTTATTTATAGTTTCACTTATTCCTAAATATTTACAAAATGTAAGCATTTAGTTACTAAAATCAAGCTAGCAGATAATTTTAAATTGATACTTTTTCTTTTTTGTTTAGAAAAATTAAAAGGTCAAGATAAAATACTCAGACTGCTGACCTGAGGATTAATTTATTCTTCTTAAAATATCAGGAAATTTATATGAATTAAGACTGAAGATCAAAACTATCCACCTAGTTTAGTATTATCACGGCAGTTATATATAGACATTACTTTTCCAGCCTCATAAACGTCAAAACAGATAATCTAAATTAGAAGCGCTTTTTTTAGGACCTTTCAAACATTAGCAGGCCATTCGTTATCGGATGTCAAAATAAACTGCACAATAAACTGCTGTAGAAAAACACACTTTCATATCTGATCAAAGAAACGAGATAATTTACAGCACTTTGCACCTTGCTGACGTTAGGAACTCGTTGGCCTCTGAAGAGAAAAGTTTTTACGGTACATGCATTTCTTAAGGTATTTTTTTCACTGCCTCTAACTGACACAGTCAGTTGAACAAGTCTTCAATAACAGCAAACGAGTTCTATTTTAACGAGAAAATGTTATTTTTAACGCTGGGTGTTTTGCTTTCACCCGCATTTATCTCAGTTAGGCAAAAAAAAAAAAAAAAAAAAAAAAGTGAACCTACGTGCTCTATTTTGACCTTTTTTATGAAACCTTAATTTCTTTAACATCAGTATGAAATGTTTATCTTATATAAATTCTGAGCAAGAAGACTTAATAAGTTTTAGGCGGGTGTTTTATCACAGTTTTACAAAGTGGTGGCTCTTATATCCACTGGTATGTTTATACGCCAATATTCATTGAACATAATAAAAAAAGTTTTATAAAACAGAATATTCATATAATATACTTCAAGTTTAATTACCAAAGACATAATCGAAAAACATGCTAATAAAAAAATTTAGTTGTAGTCTGTATTGGATTCTTTACATTTTGACAAAGAATGTGATGGCAGTCTGCCTAAGGCTATGGATGCTTTCATGAAAAACTGTTTAGGAATCAGTTTAGTTTAACTGGGTATGTCAAAGCTATCTGCCTAAAGGGAGATATGTCTTGGAAGACTTTTTAAGG